ATGGTTTCCTTTGCTGTGCAAAAGGAAACCATAAACAAGACAAAAAGGCAACCCTCAGAATGGGAGAAAATATTTGCAAATGAAGCAACTGACAAAGGATTAATCTCCAAAATTTATAAGCAGCTTATGCAGCTCAATATCAAAAAAACAAACAACCCCATCCAAAAATGGGCAGAAGACCTAAATAGACATTTCTCCAAAAATGATATACAGACTGCCAACAAACACATGAAAGAATCCTCAACGTCATTAATTGTTAGAGAAATGCAAATCAAAACTACAATGAGATACCATCTCACACTAGTCAGAATGACCATCATCAAAAAATCTAGAAACAATAAATGCTGGAGTGGGTGTGGAGAAAAGCGAACCCTCTTGCACTGTTGGTGGGAATGTGAATTGGTACAGCCACTATGGAGAACAGTATGGAGGTTCCTTAAAAAACTACAAATAGGGGCTTCCCTGGTGGCACAGTTGTTGAGAGTCCGCCTGCCATTGCAGAGGACGCGTGTTCGTGCTCCAGTCCCGGAAGATCCCACATGCCGCGGAGCGGCTGGGCCCGTGAGCCATGACTGCTGAGCCTGCACGTCCGGAGCCTGTGCTCCGCAACGGGAGAGGCCACAGCAGTGAGAGGCCCGCATACCGCAACAACAACAACAACAACAACAACAACAAAAACTACTAATAGAACTACCATATGACCCAGCAATCCCACTACTGGGCATATACCCTGAGAAAACCATAATTCTAAAAGAGTCATGTACCAAAATATTCATTGCAGCTCTATTTACAATAGCCCGGAGATGGAAACAACCTAAGTGTCCATCATCAGATGAATGGATAAAGAAGATGTGGCACATACATACAATGGAATATTACTTAGCCATAAAAAGAAACGAAATTGAGCTATTTGTAATGAGGTGGATAGACCTAGAGTCTGTCATACAGAGTGAAGTAAGTCACAAAGAGAAAGACAAATACCTTATGATAACAGATATATATGGAATTTAAGAAAAAAAATGTCATGAAGAACTTAGGGGTAAGACAGGAATAAAGACACAGACCTACTAGAGAATGGACTTGAGGATATGGGGAGGGGGAAGGGTAAGCTGTGACAAAGCGAGAGAGTGGCATATATACACTACCAAATGTAAAATAGATAGCTAGTAGGAAGCAGTCGCATAGCACAGGGAGATCAGCTTGGTGCTTTGTGACCACCTAGAGGGGTGGGATAGGGAGGGTGGGAGCAAGGGAGACACAAGAGGGAAGAGATATGGGAACATATGTATATGTATAACTGATTCAGCTTGTTATAAAGCAGAAACGAACACACCATTGTAAAGCAATTATACTCCAATAAAGAATTTAAAAAAAACCATTACTATCCAAGGTACATATAAAAAGCTTCCACCCTTCAAAGCAATAAAAGAAAAAATCCAGATTAAAACGACAAAGCAGTGTTATTTTAACCTACTAATTAGCAAAAATTTGAGGAATGAGTAATACTAGTGTTGTAAAATGCATTCATTGTGAAAGTGTAAGTTGATGTATCATTTCTGGAGAAAATTTTGGTGATATGAATCAAAATCTTAAAAATATGTATGACATCTGATTCAATAATTCTTGCTAAAAATGTATCCTTAAGGAAATAGTTACAAATACATATAAAAGGATTCAGCTACAAGGGTATATATTCCAGCAAAATTTTCTTAAGACTGTCTTTTCATACTGTTTTACCTGAAACAATAAAATAGCCTTACCTGAACTGTACGTCCTGCATTGATATGCTCTTCATGCAACTTGTCCCAGATTCTGCACCTCTGATACTATATGAAAGAAAGGTGAAAGGTACTGAATTTTTTTTTATCACTAAGTGATTATTCCCAATTTACCTCAAAAATCCCCACTCACCCACCCAAAGTTAAACATACCAGCTAAAAAATTTACTGACTTAGTAGTGGAAATTAACTGTCCAAAGTCCATACAATAGGAAGTTTTCAAAAACATTACACACAAAATTCTGGTAAATGGTAAAAACAAACAAAACCCACTAAATACTCTTTATTTTACTGAAAAAGAGTATGTATTTTGTCTATAATGCACACTCTTTGGAGGTGAAAAAAATGAGAATGTAAAAGAGTGTGAAAAATGAAAAGATTAACAGCATTCATCAGATATTGTTACTATATATGAAGACTTTGAAATGTCTGTTAATGATAGAGTCAAGTATTGAAAACTAAAATCTGATCTGAGAAAAAGTAACATGGATACTGCAGACTAGAAAGTATATAAAAATGAGAATGAACATTTAATATATATGTCTTAATTTTTACCAAGGTAATGTTTAGTTTCCAGAGTTCATCCAAGAAACTTAACGAGCGTGATAATGGAAAACTTTTCATTTGACAGGAAAATGTGATAACATTATGACGGAATACTTGTATAAAATATAAACAACACCAAATGTCACACATTATTTTTGGTTGAAATAAAAAACCCAAATAATTAAGATGTTGGCAGATGTGAATAATGACATTAAACACATTTTTGGTATAACCCACACACACACACTACTCTGAAAGCACAGGAACATGAAAATGCCCCATATACACATAGAAGGAAAAATAGATTATAAAAGTAGAGCACTAAAATTTTTTCTAGGGTATTTTTATATTCCCTATTCTGCATATTTTTTAAATTTGGTAGTGAATAATGCAGCAAAAAAATCTTTTGATACTCCTGAATTTTTGTTTTTTATATCATCTAAGAACTAAACAATAGCCATTAAGCTTAAAAATAACTAGACTATGGAGAACAATATGGAGGTTCCTTAAAAAACTAAAAATAGAACTACCATATGACTGAGCAATCCCACTACTGGGCATACACCCTGAGAAAACCATAGTTCAGAAAGACACATGCACCCCAATGTTCACTGCAGCACTATTTACAATAGCCAGGACATGGAAGCAACCTAAGTGTCCATCAACAGATGAATGGATAAAGAAGATGTGGTACATATATACAATGGAATATTACTCAGCCATAAAAAGGAATGAAATTGGGTCATTTGTAGAGATGTAGATGGACAGAGAGACTACATCTACAGAGTGAAATAAGCCAGAAAGAGAAAAACAAACATTGTATATTAATGCATATATGTGGAATCTAGAAAAATGGTATAAATGATCTTATTTGCAAAGCAGAAATAGAGACACAGATGTACAGGACAAACACATGGACACCAAGGGGGAAGGAGGGTGGGATGAATTAGAAGATTGGAATTGACATATATACGCTATTGAAACTATGTATAAAACAAATAACTAGTGAAAACCTATTGTATAGCACAAGGAACTCTACTCAGTGCTCTGTGTGGTGACCTAAACGGGAAGGAAATCAAAAAAGAGCAGATATATGTGTACGTATAGCTGATTCACTTTGCTGTACAGTAGAAACTGACACAACATTGTAAAGCAACTATACCCCAATAAAAATTTAAAAATAGACTATATTGAGAATATATTTACCAAACATAAACTTAAAACCACTACGCAATCAAATAAATTTAAAACCACTATCAATCTACTTTTGCTTCTAAGAAAAATTTAATTGATGCCATCAGACCCAGTATAAATGCTCCTTTAATGTTATGATATTAACAAAAAGAATGTAAGCCAAAGATACATGTCTGAAAATAAGCCACTTTAAAATTTATTACTTAATACTAATCTGTCATGTTATTTTAAGAAAAATAATGTTAAGGAAACAGTTGAAAATCCAGAGAGGTCAGGGTTGCAAGAATCGTGGAGCAGAGTATCAGAGAGGAAAAAGCTGCATGTGAGGAGATAACTGAAATGAGAGCACTATACTGAGACAGAGTTCCAGAGATCCACAGGGTTTTCCTTTTGAGTCTTCAGCTGAGTACAGATCAGTACATGCACATAAGCAAACTACCTGAAGTCAGAAAAAGAACCACTGGAAAAGAGCAGGTAGACTAATCCTCCAAAATCACACAAGGCCAGAAACAGTTCATGTGACCACAAGTCAGACTGGAAAAATCTCTCAACACACTAGACATCAGGTGGAGTACTCCAAAGCACTGTCCTACATGGGGAAAAATTAGGCCTGGAATAAAGGCTATTCTGATCCTATGCAAGTTTAAAAGAGCCTCAAAAGGATCAAACTGTTCCCAAATAACTTAAATGTGTCTCAGAATAAATAAAGCTCAAAAGTACTCAAAGTAATGTAAAAATATTCAGTATCCAACAAGTTCAGAATGTCTGGCATCCAATAAACAATTACCATGCATGCAAAAAAGCAGGAAAATATAATCTGCAATGAGAAAAACCAATCAATAGAAACAGATTCAGATACGATAGAGATAATGGAATTAATAGACAAGGATATTAAAAATTATTATGATATATTCCATGTTGTTAAGAAAGAAAAAAACATGAGCATATTGAGATATGGAAGATATTTTTAAAAATTCAATTCCTAGGGGCTTCCCTGGTGGCGCAGTGGTTGAGAGTCCGCCTGCCAATACAGGGGACACGGGTTCGTGCCCCGGTCCAGGAGGATCCCACATGCTGTGGAGCGGCTGGGCCCGTGAGCCATGGCCACTGAGCCTGCGCGTCCAGAGCCTGTGCTCCGCAACGGGAGAGACCACAACAGTGAGAGGCCCACGTACCGCAAAAAAAAAAAAAAAAAAAAAAAATTCAATTCCTAAATTTAAAAAAGGTATCTGAAATGAAAAATGTAATGGATGGGTTTAATTGAAGGTAAGACAATGCAAAGAAAAGAATAGTAAATTTAAAGATATAAAGTAGAATCAATCCAAAATGAAACACAGAGAGAGAAAAAAAGATGGACAATAAATGAACAGAGTATCAGTGAGTTGCAGGCCAATTGAAAGCAACATTTTATGTATGCAATTGGGTTCCTTGAAGGAGAGAAAAAAATTCTGAAAAACTAATGAGACAATGACTGAGATGGTGGAGGAGGAAGACCCTGAGCTCACCTCTTCCCATAGGTGCACCAAAATTACAACTAATTTCAGAGCAATTATGGATGAGAATGACTTAACGACTAGCAGAAGAGATTTTCCACAACTAAAGATATAAAGGAACCATACAGTTTATGGTCAAAAGGTGCAAACTTCCAGTCATAAGATAAATAAGTACTAGGGATGTAATGTATGCCATGATTAATATATATAATTAACACTGCTGTATGTTATATATGAAAGTTGTTAAGAAAGTAAATCCTAATTTAAATCTCATGACAAAAGAAAAAAATGTTTTTCTTTTATTTTGTATCTATATGAGATGATGGACCTTCACTATTTATTGTGATCATCATTTCATGATGTATGTAAGTCAAATCATTATACTGTACACCTTAAACTTACACAGTGCTGTTTGTCAGTTATATCCCAGTAAGCGAGAAAAAAAAAGAAAAATGAGTGGCCAAAGTTTTTCCAAATCTGGTAAAAATTATAAACCCACAGATCCAAGAAACTCAAGGAATACCATAAATAAGAAAAATGAACAAAACTAAACTAATGCACATCATAATAAAATTACTTACAATAAGTGATAGAAAAATCTTAAAAACAGCAAGAGGAAAAAAAGATATGTGAAGTACAGAGCAACACAGATAAGAATGACAGAAGACTTCTTGTGAGAAACAATGCAAGCCAGAAAACACCAGAGCAACATCTTGAAAGTACTGAAACAATCTAAAACTCAACCTAGAATTCTATACACAGGGAAAATATTTTTTAAAAGTGAAGGCAAAATAAACATTTTTTTTTTCAAACACAAAAATGCAAGAATTCAATACCAGCAAACCTGTACTACAAGAATGTTAAAGGAAGTCCTTCAGGTTGATGGGAAAATGATACCAGACAGAAACCTGGTTCTACAAAAAAGTGACAGCACTGAAAAATGGTAAATATACAGATAAATATAAGATATACTTTTTATTATTTTAAAAATCTCTTTGAAAGATAACACTGTTTAAAACAAAAATTACATTACATAGAAGTAAAATATATTACAATAATGCTACAAAGACCCTGAGAGAGGAAATTGAAGTGTACTGTTATAAGGCTATTTATTTATTTATGACTGCGTTAGGTCTTTGTTGCTGCATGCGGGCTTTCTCTAGTTGAGGTGAGTGGGGGCTACTCTTCTTTGCAGTGCACAGGCTTCTCATTGCGGTGGCTTCTCTTGTTGCAGAGCATGGGCTCCAGGCGTGTGGGCTTTGGTAGTTGTGGCGCGTGGGCTCCGTAGTTGTGGCTCATGGGCTCTAGAGCATAGGCTCAGTAGTTGTGGCACATGGGCTTAGCTGCTCCGCGGCATGTGGGATCTTCCCGGACCAGGGCTCAAACCCGTGTCCCCTGCATTGGCAGGCGGATTCTTAACCACTGAGCCACCAGGGAAGTCCAAGATTCTTATAATATACGTGAAGTGATATATATATATATGTATATATGAAAACACATTACTTGAAGGTAGACTGTCATAAGTTAAAGATGAATACTCTGAACTGTAAACCATTAAAAATAAAAATACAAAGAGGTATAATTAATAAGCCAACAAAAGAAAAAATGGAATCTTAAAAAATATGCAATTAATCCAAAAGGGAGTAAAAGATGAGAAAAGGGGACAAAGAATAGATGGGACAAACAGACAAAAAGAGCAAGATGGTAGATTTAAAGACAACCATTTGATAAACATCTGTTCATTATAAAAATTCTCAGCAAACTTAAAAAAGAAGTTAACATTAGAGGCATCTACAAAAACCCTACAGTCAACAT